TCCATGGCTCTGGAAACACACAGAAAGTTGTCAGCAAAAAAATAAAAGAAAATACATTGCTGCCCTGAAGTATCACTAAATGCAAGATATTCTGATTTACCACGTTCAGAACCCAACCCGCTGGTCACTGCTGGAACCAACTCGAACCAGAAACTAATATCCAACCGAGGCTGAAGTTGCAGACCTCCAAGATGAGAAACCGATGCAATACAGTTTGTTCTGCCCCTAACAGTATACACAAAAGGGCTTACTTTCATTTAAATAAGCTTCCCCCTGAATCTCTGCCCGTTAACAACGGTATAAAAGCTGTCTTAAGTTGCGCAGAATTGAATTCTCTCTTCTTTTCTAGTGAAGGTAGATTCAGTGATATGAGTTACCGTTGCAGGAGAAGAATGTCTGCAGCACGTAACACAAACAGGACTCGTTACTCTTCTTCCAAACATCTTAAGGGCAGGAAGAGAACTAATTCCAAGCGAACAGCAGGCTCCACCATGTACACAACCTGGTTCTGGTTTCCAAAAAGCCCTTTGGTACCTAACTGGCTGCAAGTCTTCCCCATTTCACACATCACTTCTGTCAGTAAACCCTTATTCTCATACAAATATCTGCAATTCCTCCTTCAGATTTGGAGTAACACTGAAAGACCAAGGAATAATCGAGCACAGAGGCCAAAGATGCTGGGGAGGTTTCCTCACGAGGCTTTAAGTGAACCCCTGCAGGCAGCACAACCCCTCAAAGCCCAGAAGGTTCTGGGCCCCAAAGCTGTGCCCCAGGGCCAGGCTCAGGGCTGATTTTCAGGCTCAGGTGCTCCTGAGAGCAACACAACGGTTACTGGTTGGGTTCCTATCAGCACGGAGATGTGGTGTAAATGGAGCACATTAGGGACAAATCAGCCCAAACCCCAAATAAAATGTTTATTTGAAGCGAGCACAGCACAGACACGAGGACACCGCCAACAGGTGACTGACTTCCAGCAGACCCGCTTTGAAAACACTCAGGAAAAAAACAAGAAAAGCAGCAATAAAACCAAAACTCTCATCCCCTCGCTGCACAACACCTCTTTTACTTCAGTTCATTTTATTCCCACAGCCCAGCGCCCCGCAGCGGAGCACCCGCGGGCAGGCGGGCGCCTCGGGGGCTGCCCCTCACGGAGCCCTGAGGCGGCCGAGGGGCAGCGGGGCCCCGCCATGAGCCCCCCGCCCCCCCCACACAGCGCCGTGAGGGGGCCCCCGAGCGCGGCCGGACGCGGCCGAACCCGGCCGAACCCAGCCGAACGCGGCCGAGTCCACCCGAGCCCGGCCGAACGCGGCCGAACGCGCGGCCCCCCCCCACCCGCCACTCACCGCCGCCTGCCCCGCTTGGATCTCCCTCCTCGCCCGGCCGCCGCGATCTCACGGGAACTCGGCGCCAGCTCTCGCGAGGCCAGCGGCCCGCGCCGCCGTACTGACGGGACGAGGCGCGCAGCCTGAGGCGCTACCGTAACGCCAGCCGCGGCGCCCCGAAAAAAAACGCTCTAAACGCAGATTTTCACGAGTTTTTCCCAATTGCACGTTTGATTAACGTTACTTATTAATACTATTAGCATAACTAAGCCGTTCAAAGCAGTCTGTTTATAAAGAGAAAGATCTGGAAGCCTACAAACTGGCAGTGCCACCATCCCCTCATGACCCACACCGCGGATAAAAGCGCTGTTTAATTAAGAAGTTGTCACTGCCAGGTACACAGTGGCTAAGTTTATTTTTGCAAACAGAATTCAGCGATTCAAGCACAATCCTATCAGTAATTCCGCCTGCCTGGGATTCAAGAAAATCCTGTTACTTTACCTAATGAACACCGCTGGGCAGCTATAAAACGTTACTGAAAACAGGGGGAAATTATCTTCTGGGCTATGAGACCCTGCCCTGCTGTCACTGACTGGATTTAGGAGCACAATGAGGCAGCAATTTCTAAATATAACCCTCGTCTTCAGCAAATGCAGCAAAGCCACCCAGCTGAACAGCCCACAGCCAGAGCCACACATTGGGAATCTCTGCACTATGGATCGTACGTGCCAACGCAGCCTGACATGCATGAGAATGCTGCCTGTTATTGCATGTGCTCATAAATTGCATCAGCTTTTAAGAAAGATGAAGAGGAAATAAATTGACTCAACCTCCCCCTAGCCATTCCCTCTCCTCCTGACAACCACCTTTATGGTTAGTCTCCAATACGACAGCGTTAGTACTGCAATGATTTTCAAGCACACATTAAAACTCGTATAATCACTGTTTTATTTTCATTTCCATTGTTCCAGCCCCAGAGGTTGCCTTTCAGATTGTTCCTCTCTGTTGCCAACCCTTTTCTCTGCAGGTGAGAAGCAAGATTGGACGTCTCTGCATGTGTAATTAGAGGATAAGCTCAGTGGGGCACCTCCCTGGTTTTCTTTCTCTATTTGAAAAGCACGATGTACTTCCTGAGGATTGTGGCAGATTTTCCCAGGTTGTTCTCAACAACGTAACAGCTCAAGCTGGGGTTCTTAATGCTGGGATTTTTCTTTCAACACCTGCCAAATTCAGATTTCCCATCAGTGTCTGATCACCTGTTTGATAATCTGCATTTCTCCGCTTTCATTTCCCTTTGTACAGTCTTGCCAAGAAATAAGATTCAGAAGAGTCCTTCCGGCTGGCCTGAGGCTTTAAAGTTTTCACCTCCCGGAACTGCTCCTTCAGTCTGTTTTGAAGAACACGGGACTCGTGTCCATCCCAGAACTTACACAGCAGCGTTCCTTTAGGCTTTAAAATACTTTGTGCCAGATTCACAAGGCCTAAACATAAACTGATCAACTTCTGATGGTCCAGGTCTTTAATGCCTGTTGCATTAGGTGCCATGTCGCTCAAGATAGCGTCCACCTTCCCTGCAGGAAGCAGGCTCTGGATTGCCCTCAGCGTGTTTGGGTCTGTAATGTCAGCCTCTGGCAGGAAGACAGCTCCTTCCAGTGGGGAAATCCGCATGAGGTCAACTCCAAGGACGAAGCCAGTGGGGGCAGAAGGATCTAGATGACAAGAATGAATGACACACTGAATCCTTATTAAAATGGTTGAAAACAACTTTCAGATACATGAGCTGCACAATATTTGATAAACAAAAACTTATTTCCTGCCACAAATGATTTTCCTCTCCTTCCACAACCAGCCGGCTACATGCATCGTGATGAATGGTCTGCTCTCAGCTAATCCATTTATAACTTTAAACACGAGTTATTTTGGATAAGCAAGGGATACTTTATTGTTTTTTTTCTATTTTTTTTCCACAGATGTCAATCTAAATCCCGGACAATAGTACAGCTGATAATACTTTGCATTATAAACATTAATGGCTTAAAACACGCAAACCTTATGTTGCTACCATTTTTCAAGAAGGGAGATAAAAATTCAGAAAATCCACATAACCTATTGGAAGCCACACGAATTTCCAGACTGGATGAGGGCTCTTCTCCCCATCACAGTTAATTAGAAGACTTATTTACATCTATAGTAGCACCTCATGGTAAATTCTTACTTCACAAATATAACTTCTGCAGACCACATGAAGATTTACTGTTCTTTACCACGACACTGGCACACACCTTCACACTTCTATCCGTGACTCTGCTGTTTGCCTACTCCACCACCTCACAGCTGAGTTTCCTCACAGACTCCAAGGCAAGTATAAGCCCATCTTGACTGCCAAAAACATGCACTTACCAGTACCTAAGGCGTTGACCTTCTCTACAGCAACCTGACTCCAAGCACCTGGTGCTGCCCCACAGTCTAGAACGGAGAGTCCTGGTCGGAGAATATGGAACTTGTCATCGATCTCCAGTAACTTGAAGGCACTCCGACAACGGTAGTTCTGCTGTTTCGTTGCTTTGACAAAGGGATCCTTCAAATGCCGCTCCAGCCACCAGTTCTCTGTTGCAGTTTTCTTCTTTAGGAACCCCACCGTGGTGTGCAGACACCTGCAGTGCAGGTGAAGGCTTGCCAAACGCTGACAGCTGCCCAAGAAGAAAGGTGACAATCAATTAGTGCATGGTTACTAAAGCCTTCTGAAACACATACTCATTAGTTCTTATATTGACTACAGTTCCACCTATTTATCACCAAGCTCACTAAAACCCTCAACATTTCGGGTATACTTGGCATCTTCAGTTACCTGCTCCAATTACAATGAGAAAAGCCACAGTTTGGATCAAGACCTCACTGGTTCTCTCTGAACACAGAGGAAAAAGAGGATCCCATCCCTAAAGAGCGCTTCGGTTCTGCTCAAGCATTTGTGTCCAAGACTTGTGGACACCTGATGCTTTGAACAAGTTCATCGGCCATCCCATGGGGTCGGCAACCTCCATGCAAGCAGGGCCTTTGTGGGAGCCGGGGTACGACTTCACCAACCCACACTCCCCACAAGCCCTGAGGGATGTGTTAGAGAAATCAGGGGTGCCTGAGTATCTAAGGGCTGCTTTCCCTTTCCGTGACAGCCTTTTAAAGCCAAGCACCCACCATCTTAAGGCGAAGGGGAGCTGTGGTGCTTACACAAGCAGCCCAACAGAACCACAGCACATCCCACAGGGCTCACTGAGCCCAATCCCGGCTCCACACAGCACCACGCCAGAATCAGCCCATGTGTCTGAGCGCCCGGACCTAACGCTCGGTGCTCTGACCACGTCCCTGGGGAGGCTGCCCCAGCTCCCGACACCTCTGGGTGCAGACCCTGACACCCAGCCCGCCCCTGCCCTGTCCCAGCCCCGTGCCTCCACCTCGCAACGCCCGCCCTCATCCCGCACACGCCGCTGGACGCCGGCCGGCCGGGACACGTTCCACCTTCACAACCTCCCCTCCTGCATTTCCAGTGAGGAAAACCCAAGGCGCCGAGCCAAGCCCTGCACCTCCCGAAGCAGAGGAGGGTCGGCACCCCCACAGTGGGGCCAGCCCCAGCGCCTCTCCTCAGCCACACCGCCCCCGGACCCTCCCCTCAGCGCCGCGACATGGCGGCCGCCGGGCCCCGGCCCTGCCCGCTCCGGGGCGGTGCCGAGGGCGGTGCTGGAGCCTCAGCGGCGCGGGAAGAGCGGAGCCGAGGTTGTGGCGACTGGGACATCGCCATCAGGAGCCCATCGGAGAGGTCCGGAGGGGATTTGGGTACTGGGTGTAGGGGAAGTCGGGGGTTGGGGTAGGGACGCTGAGGGGACGAGGGGTTGGGGACGGAGAGGTGCGGGGACAAAGGGGTGGGGAGGAGGTGTGGGGACAATTTGGGGAGGGAGAGGTGTGGGGGCGAGCTTTTGGGGAAGTGGAAGGCTTGGGGAGGGGGTGTTTGGGGAAGTGAAAGTTTTTAGGAGGGCGAGGGACCAAAGGTTAACGGGGAGCGCCACAGAGCGGTGTGCGGGGCAGCACGGTGGGCCCTGGGGTTTGGGAAGGGGAACTGGGTGGTGGGGGGCTTCCTACAGGGTCTGGGCTTCAAGTCCCGGCCTCTCCTCTGAGAGGTGCTCGGTCTCAGCACTCTTCTCAGCACACCCTGCCTCGCACAGGAGCCATGTCTACACGCAACCTCTTCACCCTCGTCCTGGTGGTGCAACCGTCTCGCATCCTCCTGGGCATGAAGAAACGCGGGTTCGGAGCCGGGCTCTGGAATGGTTTTGGGGGAAAGGTGCAGACAGGAGAGAGCATCGAGGAGGCTGCTCACAGGTGAGACCCAGCCCTGGGAGAGAGGGATGTGAGGGTGTCGGGCTGGAAGGTGTTGGGCTGCTTTTGGTGGGGTTGCTGTGGCTCAGCTGATCCGTAACGCCCTTGTCACCAGCCAGGGAAATCACAAGTTACCTCTGAGCAGAAAATGAAACATTCCACAGATGTACGAAGGAACGGGATGGCTCCCTGTTGCCCATCACCTGTAAATCTCTTAACTTCCAGTCTGCGAGTAACTGGAAGTTACTGAGCGTCCTCCCTCCCATCCATCGTATGGACTATACCTAAACTGAGACTTAGTCCGCAAGCAGAGGCTCTGTTCATAAAGGTGCATAGTTTATTTTTGACTATATAGCAGAATTACAATTTATAGTAGCGTAATCTTATGTTTTAAAGATGCTATATAGATGCTAAATTCCAGTAGCATTTTTTGTGCCATGTGAAAACAGTGACAAAATATTAGAAACTTAATTTGGAGATGCCTCATGAACAGCACAGTGAAAATTTATTGCTTAACTGCATAGAGGCATTTTAAACGCCTAATGCTGAGTTAGGGAATTGAATTCCATCAGTCCTGAGATATGGCACCATTTCTGAAGCTATTAGCAGCGGTTCATTGGAGGACTTTCTTCTGTTTAGTCATTGTAATGAAGAAGTAGATCAGTTGAATCACTGAACTCTTCCAAAAGTTATGTTGCACCTTGTTCTTCACATGAATGTCATAGATAAAAAGCCACGCTTTGCCACCTTCTCACTCTCTGATGCATGGCCAAGCTTACCTCACACCTGCAGGAAGTTTAATGTCAGTGTGCTCCACAGATACCAACAGCTTTTGCTTGAAACATTCTCTTCAGCTGTGCCAGCACAACTGCTTGGGTTCTGTGGTGAGCTAATCAAGGGGGCAGAACAGGCCTTTATGCAGATACATGCTCAGCAGAACGCTAGGTTAACGTACCTGATGCTTACATTGTGACTTTTCATAGAACTTTTCATCTCTGAGTGGAGGGTGGGAGATCAGTCCCATTACTTAAAGCAGATCTTCGTTCATTTACATTGCTACCACATGTGATGTAAAATGATCTGATTAATTTATTGATTGACTTCCTACATGCCTGTTTATCTGTGCTAACTTGGAGTTAGAAACTGGAACTTTAACCCATACAACGCGCTACGTGGTAAAAGTGCCAGTGATCTCAGTGCAATGTGCCACAGTACAAACAGCACCTGCCAGCATGGACTGTGGCACGGTCCAATCTGCAGCCCTCTCCTCACAGCTCGAGTTTATTGCAGAATTACACAGCCGATTCCTATCAAAGTCAGCTGAGGAGGAAGCAGAGCCAGGCCTGGCTGGGTACTACACAAACGCCGTGCTGCCAGGCGTAGGGGGAAGCTTGGGTGCAGCTCAAGTAAAACTTCTTTGTACAGGCTCTGCTCTGTATCACAACCTGAGGTATTAGGCTGCGGTTCTCCGTGTGTCTCAGATTGCCCAAATTGTTAAATATTAAGCTGAAACATGAACATTACATTAATCCTGTAAGAATTCTGTACTCCACTGGTTATAGCACGTTCCAAGTACCTGGGCACCCGCAGCTCTTCAGCGTCCCATCCTGTAAGGGGAACATTTAGCCAGTTCATTATTTCCAGTTTGCTACCTGTAACATTTCCATTTACTATCTACAGAGCCGAATAGCTGACAGATAAATAGCTTAGAAAATCACAGTAATGTTGTGCTCATTGTTCAATTAATGCAGTCCATAAAATGAGGCTTTTAGCTTTCTTGCTGGAAAACTACCTCTATTCTAGGCATGGTTTCCCAGGAAGATCAACTAAAGCTAGTTAAGGTATTAGACTAGAATATAATTTTGATGGATAGAATCCAAGAAATTAATGCCAAAGAAAGCTGGAGCCTTAAAGATAACTTCCGTTATCTTGTGAATTGTTAAGTCACTGCCAAATACACAACTAGATTAATTATTAACCTTAACTGAAGTAGTGTTGCAAAGTATTTCTTATTTTTGTACACTAGAATAATCACGACTAACATAAAGCTACGCTTTCTTAAAGGCAAGTTTTGTTTTTAAAAGGAAAAGCCCTGAACGTGTAGCATAAACAGAGCAAATAATTTGATGTGCTTCAAGTAGCCACGCGTGGTGATGCACTGAAAGCAGCTGTTCAGCAAGTCTCTCAGAGTGCCCTTACAAGTCTTGCCTTGTAGCCTCTCTCTTATGCTAAGTGTATTTCCAAGGAGCAGAAATGGAAATTTTATACAATTGCTTTGTGTTTTTATATGGCATTTGACTGGGAGATGTTATTCCTGATCTTCCATGTGCAAATAACGTTACATAGTGCATGTTAGTACTTAAGCTTCATTTTGCCTCAGAAGTAGCAGAGTTTGTGGCAAGCACAGATGTTCTAATAGTGCTTACTTGTGTCCCCACAGTTCTAAAAACCTTAGCTTGTAGGCTAAGCCTTCTGCTTGTCTGAATAAAGCCTATTTCAGAGTTAAGCCACATCCAGCTACAGTCTTAGCACGTATGAGTTAGCCCATTTCTAACAGATCTTGGGAAAGATCATCCCATGGCAAAGGGTGTAAATTACACAGATCAGTTTTTGTGAAATTTCCCTCTGTGACACAGACTACTTCCTACCAGCATCTGGAGCCTCATAGTCACTCATAAGCCAGTCTGACACTGCCCCACTCTGGTGCTAGTCTTAATAGTGTAACATAAGCCAGAACTCTGCTTTGCTGCAGGTACAGCTTTCACCTTTAATTCACTTTGGGTGTTTTGAATGTGCATGTAAAGGCAGTAACTGCTTTTTTGTTCTCCCACTGCTTGCTTTGATGTCAAGTCTATTTCACATACAGGGAACTCAAGGAAGAGAGCGGACTAACAGTGGACACCTTGCAGAAGATGGGCCAGATCACATTTGAATTTGTAGGCAGCCCTGAACTCCTGGAAGTTCACGTTTTCCGGGCAGATCATTTTAACGGCGAGCCAGAAGAAAGTGATGGTAGGTGCTACCTCTCCTCTAGTGGAGGAGAAGCATGGGCATTCTCCTCTGAGACAGTATTGCTCATAAATAAATACAGAAGTATTCACACAGAATTTCTTTTGAGAAGGGAGGCAGCTGGGCTGTAAACAGAAGCTGTTTGTTTGACAGACAGTCAAAACTCCAGGCAGCAAAAAAAGCAAGACACAATTTCATGCCAAGTTGTTTTCTCCCACCAGAAATGCGGCCTCAGTGGTTTCAGCTGGATGAGGTGCCATTCAGTCAGATGTGGCCAGATGATATCTATTGGTTTCCCCTGCTGCTTCAGAAAAAGAAGTTTCGTGGCTATTTTAAGTTCCAAGGACAAGACACTATCTTGGAGCACACCCTGGAAGAAGTGGAGGAAATTTAAGAAGAAAACAGAAGCATTCATCCCACACGATGCCTACAGTGAGCTAGAACGCCATGAGTACTTCCAGGGGTCTCCTTTCTCAGCTCCCCAGCAGAGATTTATCTGCCGGGTCACCGGGAAGTAAAGAAAATAAGGGCATTTCTTAAAGTAGATATAGATGAAAGGAGACTTTCCATGCTGTGAAGTCCCTGGCTGTAGCATGGTTTAGTGGTTACTTGATGACAACTCTGAAGAATGTGCAGTTAACCCTTGTTTCTCAGGTGGTTAATGTGGTAGGCTTTTCCATCATAGCTGTAACTCTTTTTTAAAAAGATTAAAAATATTTTTCAGTAAAATAATTTGTTTTCCTATTATGAACATCTGGCTGATTTCTAGACTGCTTAAGGGCCTTTCAGGAATTGGCTTCCTTTCACAGAAACTCTTAAGTGGACTGTTTCTCAGACTAAGCACTATCTGTCAAGTATATTCTCTGTGCCTGTTTCTACATAGTTCCCAATGTAGCATTACTTCCTGGGAGAAGGTAACATTTTATCAGTGCTGTGAAAACCCTTTGAAAAGTTAGGTAGTGATCCTTTCAGGATTCCCCTGCTGAATGCAGCATAAGATTATAGGAGTTAAGAAAACAAAAAGTCTGAAGCAGATGTATTGCACTGTTTGAGCCCTGTTTTCACTTGGACTTTCCACTGTGAGCTTAGCTGTTTCAAGCATTTTGTACTGATAGGTAAAAATAATCTGGACAAAATCCCACCCAGGTTCCAGCAAGTCCATGTCACAAAGTGCAGTCACCCAGGGCTGCAGCCTCTGCCACGTGCCAGCAGCAGGTGACCTGTTCGGCACAGCTCTGCATGGTAGGGAGTGAAAGATGCATCAAACTGCTAGAAACAACACATCACATATGTAACTTTATACAAGGTCTTTTTTTTTTTTCTTTTAAACACTTTTACAAACACATATAACACTTACAGATAGAATCTTGGAATGTAATATAGGATCTGTAAACATTTCCAGTCTACCAGCTGTAGTAATAGTTCTTTAATTCCTGCATTTGGATAAAGTGCTTCATACATAAGGCTATTTGAGCAAAGCAAAGATACAAGATATTCCAGGCAGGCAAAATTCATACCCTCTGAACAAGATTGTTTCTTCTCATCTCCCTCCAGCAGTCCTGAATATTTTATACCACCCAAAAATGCCCTTCTTCATATGCTCAATAAGCCACAGGTCAGACTTAAAGGATAAGAGTTAACATCTTATACTCTTACCTTTCCTTTTGTGCTGCACAATGACTTATTTATGGAGTTTTTGATACCTCTGCCTCTGACGTAGCAATAAGGGTTTCTGACTGTTCTAGTGGAGAGAATGGCTTGAGGCAAGCAGAGGAGAGAAAATAAGCACAAGGGTATAAGTTGCTCACAACAGGATGTCAAACCTTACTGCATGGTAGGAAAGGGAGTGACTGACAGCTGATACCTGTTATGTTCTCTTGATTTATTTCCTGGTGGAAACTGTAAATTGCATGGTAAAGAGGGAGCAAATTACTTCCTATTCCTCCAGGAATTTAGGTAGGGAAAGAACAAGTTTGGCTCAGGCCTGCACTTGTATTTGCTATCCCCTATTCTCAGGTCAATTCAATCCTTTTACGTAGATACTTCCACCAGCACTGAATTTTAGCTCATGTCAAGAAGTAGTGACTATTGTTCCTGCTGCAGTTGTGGAGACCAATTCTGTCCCCAGCTGGTGCTCTTTGTCTTCTAGGAACAGCAGAAATTGAAGACAGTGAATTAGCCTCTTACAAATTCCAGGAATTACACCCTTGCGCGATCAAAGTAGAAGAATAGAAGCGCTGGAATGCAGCAAGGCACTGTGGAAAATGTGTTCCAAGGAGCAAAGTTCAAGGCAGATGGAAGGAGAGGGAAAGAAGCAAAGACCAAAGTTGTACTGTAAAACTAAGAGGTTGGGAAGCTTTTCAACATGTGGTATCAGTCAAAAAGCCTGTATATTGCCACTTCACAGCTCAGAGCAGAGGTGACCTTAACAGTGACCAAAACAAATAGCCCTTTTGATAAAGACATTCTTCAGGCTCTCCACTATTTACTACCCTAGTATCTCCATGATATTTGACAGAGACACTGACAGAAAAAATTGGAGGCCTTTTCTCCAATTGTTATTTTAAACACAAGGAAGTCACCATGAGTTCAAGCGCTACACAGAAAGCTTCCATCCAAGAAGGCACATTAACTCTTTGGTGCTACACCTTACATTTATCAGTTCTTGGCTAGGCAGCACACGCTCTTCTGTTAGGCTTATGGGTTGCTTAGTGTTTATTGCAGTCTACCCTTCTACCAGCAACGGGACCAACAACTGAAGTCTTGTTCTCTCCCCTGTACATAGCTGAACTGTTTGCTGCAGAGGGCGATAGCATAGAGGTAACAAGTTCTGGCTCCCCTACATTGTAAACTAGGATAGAGAACTGAAATTAACATGATTAATTCCCTGCTACATTCCTCTAGAGCAAGGAAGCTGTACTTGATGCTGCTCTCCTCGAGTCTGACACATTCCTAAACTGAACAGGGCGAGTACAGCAAGGAAATCCCTCACCTATTGAGGTAAACGTGACACTGCTAGTTGCACACTGACCAGTCTCCCAGAAGCGAGGTTTGCAAACGAAGGGTTGCATGAAACAGTGTGCATTGTTCAGGAGTGAGACAGAAGCTTGACAGTCCTGTATGAAATGAACTCTGAAAGTGCCATTAGCTGTATCAACTCTGAGAATACCTGGCCTACATTCTCAGAATGCTTGGTGAACAGATTGGGGAAAAAAAAAAAAAAAAGCAAAACAAGAAAATCCCACCCCAAAACTGTTGTCCTCCAAGAGGCAAGGGCTGACAGTGGAGGAGTGGGTGTTTGCTCAAATCAACATAATTCCAGTTTTTTACAGGTCACGTGCTCTATGCACACGTGTAGCAGTCTGTGCATTTGAATTACAGACTTTTTGAATTAAAGAATAATTGTTTTGAGGGAGAACAGGAAAGATAAGTTAATTAGTCTAAAGTCCAACTCTGTTTTTGTGTTTATGTTTTGTTTTTTTGGAAGTCTGAAATTGCAACTTCTTTTTCTAAATGTGAGAAGTGCAACGTTTCATTCAGAACTTGCAAAGTACTAGCCCACGGAACATACCCTGGTCATCTATCCCAGCCAAACAAGAAACATAGAAAACGTCAGATCTTCCTCCAAAACATACAGTGTTTTCTCAATTTGACTGCTCACATCAATGAAATGACCCTTAATAACGAAGGATGACTAAGACAAAGCAAGTCACAATCTCTAACCAGCCAGCACCTTCAGCAGATAGGAGAAATGAAGAGCATCCAAAAATATGGTAAAATGCTCTTTGCACTTTTAACCACAAACTATCTTCCTAATCAAGGCAACGTCAAGCAACAAAACAAAACAAATTGTGCCATTCTTGAGACAACGTCTCATTTGTCATTATACTGCAGAATCATTTCCCTCCCCAGACAGTTTGCTCTGGTTTATGAGCAGAACCTCTTCCACGTCACTTTGGGAATCTTCAGGCGAGGGAATCAGAACTGCCACAGCCATTTCCAGTTAGTGCCTCAATGGACAAGGCCAGTACGTAGGAGGAAAGTCTTGGAAGAGAGTTAACATTTGAACTGCTATAAAAAGCTCTTGATAGTGTATTCTGAGCAGGGTTGTTAAACCACGCATCCTACACGCTTAAGGCTCAGCACCCAAGAAATTCACCCACATTCAGTGCACTTTACCATATATCTGGGGAGGAGGGCTGTATGTAATGGATATGCTTGTCTCATGAATCTGGGCAAATAGCTTATTATCTTACTCCTAAATGAAGAAACTAACCCATAATTTCCACCTGGTCTAGGAAGATCATCATGCTGCATTTAATTTTCTAAACAAAAGAAAAAAAAGCTTTTGTGATTACAGGATTTAAGTGATTTAAATATATTTCCTACTACTGAAAGTCCCCCCAAAAGGGAAAATACTGTAATGGTTCCAGTTTAACAGCAAGCATTCATCCCTGTTAACAAGCTTCCTCTTTACCCACTCAGAGAAAACGCTAAGATGTCAACTCTCAAATTTCCCTTTGACAACTCATTTGGTCCCACAGAAGGTAGGTTCATGGGAGTCTTATTCGTGTAGAGTTTTGTTGCACACGTTTGCAGTTTCTTCACTTATCAGTTTCTCTAGAGGATATGCACAATTTCCTCTACAGTAACATGACATGCAAGTTCTTCTCCCCCCTGCCATTTCCCTCATGAGGGAAAGTCACTGGAGATACAAAGTGAGACATGGAAAATGTTTAGTCCCTTTATCACAGTCAGAAAAAAAAAAAAAAAAAAAAAAAAACATTACTGAGGGCCGTGCTCCTTTTAGAGATAAAGAACTGTCACTTCAATTGTCTTTTCTTTACACACCAATGTTATCCAGAGCCACAAAACACATTAATATCCTGATAAATACTGATTTTTGCTAATCAATTTCATCAGCATTGCGTCCCAGCCTACTGGTGTAACAGGATACTTCATCTGATACTAGACCAGAGGAAACACCAGCCATCAGGTCAGCAGTTCTCCAGTAGCCCTAAACAGCTACTCAGCAGATAGATGTCAGAACCTCCAGAAGAAAACAAACAAGCTACCCTGTAGCTGTTCTGCTTGTGTAATAGGAGTGGTTTACAATTAAGGAGTGTTTTGTTCAATTCTTTGCTCATTTATGCCAGGCAAACTCCTCTGAGTTCCTGAACCCAGCCATCTTTGGCCCCAAACTGAGAAATGTGAGCAAGTCCCTAGGCTGCCCTGCAACCACGAGCTGAATGAACGCTGACATACAGTTTGCTAAGCCTCATTGGGAAAATTGCTGTGTCACAGCAGCACTGACCTCTGCCCAGCTGGGTTAAGGAATCCAACCACTTCATTCATGGTTTTTTTTTGCTCTAAAGCCTAGCAGTAAGAAATCGAATCCAGACAACTATCAATGGGATGGCTTTCAGCTTTCCTTATGCACATATGCCTCTAACACAGACCCTCCCAAGCTTAAAAGGCAATCCACCTCCCTTCTGTAAGCACGTGCCTCAGACATCCTGTTCATCTCAGTACTTCAGAAGCTTGTCCACATGTGTGCAGATAAACATCATTGGAGGGCTGTTAGCACAAGATGCAGAGGCATCAGCAGTAACGCTGCAGCCCTCACTGCACCATGTCACATCCTGACCCTGTGACAAGTGTCTTTTGGATAACAAAAAACAGCTCTGCCCCAGAGCATTTCAAAATTAAGAGACTGTCCTTACGACTGTATGT